TGCTGTGGCCAGGACCCTGCTGTGGCCAGGACCCTGCTGTGGCTAAGACCCTGCTGTGACCAGGATCCTGCTGTGGCCAGGGCCTTGCCTATGGCCAGGCTCTGCTGTGTACTGGAAGCTCCTCATTCTAATTTCTTCCCATGCATCTAAGGCTGCAGCCACACGTTGGGAAGGACAACTCAGTGGGTCGTTGCAGACTCCTGCATGACAGACACCCCACCCGCTGACACAGCTATACAACACTTTAGAAGGCTGCAGGGGCGTCATGTGATGTGTTTGACCACAAGGTGAAAGATCTGAGGTCTAAGCCTGTAGTCACTTGGCTCCTGCAGACCCTCGGCCTAAGTTAGCTGCAGACACAGAGGACAGAAGGCAGAGAGAGATCCACGCGCCTCACCCAGCACTCACCCACCTCACGGCTACATTGTCAACCTCGGGTGGGATCAGGCCCCGGAGCAGCAGAGAGCTGCCTCCATGCCAAGCGTCAGCCAGACAGCAGTGTGTCTTCACCCAGCCCCGACTGTCTCCAGCCAGTTTGTGTTCACCAAAGAGGGGCTGGATCTCTTGGGCACTGGGGTGGTACCAAGGCCCCACTGCCTGCTCCTGAAGAAAGGGGGTAAGTGAGACATGGGGCAGGGCAGGGCCTCCTCTGCAGAGGCAAACAGAACACGGAGGTAGGGACAGGAAAGCCACACACAGCTCTCCTACTCACACCCTTTGGCTTCCCCCTGCCCACCCAGCCAGAGGCCAGACGCAGAGGGGCCCACTCCCACCCCGTCCTCAGCACCGTGACCCACGCAGGCCACACGCAGAGAGGCCCACTCCCACCCCATCCTCAGCACCGTGACCCACGCACCTGGCCATAGCAGACTCTTCGAGTCCCCAGACCCAGGCAGAAAGAGGTGACAAAAGGCAGGGAGCTGATGCTGTGTGTGGGCAGGAAGCGCTCCAGCAGTCTCCAGAACCTGACAGGGACAGAGGGAGCTGGGGTGAGGGGGCTGCTCTACATCCCTGCAGCCCTGTGTGAAGCTGGGGGGATCTCTGTCAGGGGCCATCCAGGGAGACTGGGGCACCCGGCTAGGGGCAGACCAAATGACATCTGCAGGAAGTGGTTGTCTCCCTCTGTTCCCTCCTGCCCAAAAGGTCTCCAGCATCCTCCCAGGGAGCTGCCAGTGGCCCCTTTGTTCTCATTGGATCCCCCTCATCCTCCAGTCACCACCCCATTGGAGAGGATCACTACACAGCAAGACCAGACCTACTCCCAGGTATCCACGGCAGCAGAGACGCCCTCTCTCCTGCCAGTCCGCGCAAAGCCCTTGGGGACTCACTTGTCCTGGTTCTGAAAGAAGTCATTCTTATCCAGACACTCATACACCCAGCCAGGAGCAAACAGCGCCACTGAGAAGCCATGCTTACGGATCAGCTCCATCGACTGGGGAAACAGAAACCAGGGAGATGCCCAACACTGCGACCAGAGTCCACACATGCTTCCTGGACGCCAGCTCACAGGGAAGGATCTCTCGGGGCCAGCGAGGAAAAGCTCTCCTCACAACTCCAAGCAGAGGGCCTTGGGCTTCATCCCTCTTGTCCCATAAGTCAGCTAAAGGAGGGTGTTAGAGAAGCAGCTGAAAACATGGCGGACTCAACCATGGAGGTGCTACCTCGGTGGACAGAGTGGCTGAGCTCACTGTAACTCTCTACCTCCTCCTCTATCCTCTTCTCTAGAGTCACAGCAGGTAGAGACTCTGCAGTTACCGGGTTGTGTAACTGTGTGCTGCTTAGTTTTAACTGTCACCTTGACACAATAACCCGGGAAGAGAGTCCCAATGAGGGACGGGCTACACTGGGTTAGCCTGTGGGCATGTCTGAGTGTGGACTGTCTTGTTGATTGACGCAGGGAAGACCTAGCCCATTGTAGGCAGTACCATTCCCTAGGCAAGGAGGTCCTGAACAGTATAAAGGGGGATAAAGCTGGGTGTGGTGACCTTTAATCCCAGGAGGCCAAGACAGAGAGATCAAGGCCAGCCTGATCTACACAGCAAGTTCCAGGACAGCCAGGGCTGCATAGGAAGACCCTGTCTCCAAAATAAGGAGAGGTGGGGGAAGGAGAAGAAAGCTGGCTGAGAATAAGCAAGGATTCATTCCCTTTCCCTCTGGTCTTGACTGTTTGATGGGACAGTCGCCGAGACTTGCCTACACTGACGGACTGGAGCCTGGACTGTAACCCGAGATTACACCCCTGTGTCTCCTGCTGCATTTCGTCAGAGTATTTTATCACAACAGAAGTGAAACACGGGCCCTGGATTAAATGATTCATCTACAGCTTCCCTCGGGACTAACAGACAGGAACTGAGGCTGCTGCTCACCTTTCCACCCTGCTGAGACATCTGGTCCCAAACATGAGTGCTTCACCTCTGTGCACTACAGCCCCCTGCACACCCCCTACGTCCACTGAGTGGCATGAAAGGTCACTCAACGCACTCCAAAGCATGTGGCCCGGGAGGGAAGTCGGTGTCTGTGGGATGATTCAAGAGTGGAAACAGGCCCTTCAGCCCATCTGACTGGAGACTCAGGAAGAGACACAGGAGTCCCAGGGTGCCTTGGTTTCCCTTCTCAGGGACAGTTCCCCTTTCTTTCCTTTGAGGTGCTAATGAGAATGGAAGGTCCCCAAGGAAGCGGCCACCGAGGGCATACAAACCAGTAGCCCTGGTGCGGGGCAAAGGCCACCACCTACCTTGTCTGTATCAAAACGGCCTCCGACCACATTGCTCCGAGCAAACACATCCACGCCCACATACACGTCAGCCAGGCGCTCCCCGGCCTGCGCCACCATCCTCTGCAGGTGTTCCTCCCGCCAGTTATAGTTGGTGAAGAAGCCATCGCAGGAGTCAAAGAAGACCCTGAGAGGTGGCAAGGACCAGCTGAGGCCATGCGCAGCTGGACGGGACACCCATCTGCCGTCAGCTTCCCTGATGCTCAGGGCCACGCCTCACCCATGGACTGGGGCTGCCCATGACTACAGTCTGCAGCATCTGGCCCTGTGGGTACTGATCACACCTGCTCCCTCCTCCCCAAAGCTGCCCACACAGGATGTCCTGTAACCCCGTCCAGCTCCTCTTCCTGCACGGCCACCCCGGCGCTCACCTGTTCTGTTCATTGAGTTCATCCTGCCATTTGAGCTGCCCACTCTGTACCACGCTGTCATACCAGAGCACCAGACCTCCAGGAACCTGCTGATGGAGCTGTGTGGTCAGGTACCGGAGAAATGGAGGTGTGTTCCCCACAGCAGCTGGCTGCAAGAGAGGAAAGGAGATCAGACCCTTGTGAGGCTGGGCAAGTCTGTCATGAGAAATAATCAGTATAGTTGAGAAGGGAGGCCACAAGACCCAACACCACCAAAAATGCCCCTTGTCCCACAACCACAAGGGAGGAAGAACCTAGCTATCCTTGTCAGACAGAAAAGAAACTAGCCCAGAACTCAGGACAAGATAAAAAGCAATTGGAGGGGTCCGTGGCCACAGAAAAGCCACACAAGCCTGAAGCAGGGATGGGGAGAAAGCATGTGGCCGCACCGAGGGAGGAGGCAAGAAGAACAGAGCCAAAGAAGCTCATGGAGTGGCTGGGCTCTCCCCTCCCTGCAGTCAGAGACGACACAGACGGTCCTAGCTAGGATGCGAGAAGCGGGTCTTGTTCCGTGGGCTGGGGCTAGGTCCGGAGCAAGAGGGGTCACGCAAAGGGTTGAGGGCAGTGGAAACTAGCAGAAAGGATTTGCAAAGCGAGGGGTGGAGGGTCAGGCACCAGGACGAGGCTTCAGTACTTACGCTCAGAGAGTTCTCGATATTGATGAGCCAACCATCGAAACGAAAAAACTGAGCGATCTGGACCAGCCGATCAGCCACTGCCTGGTAGGAGCGCTCATCCCCAGCCAGGAAGGATTCACAGAGCCTGCCTCCCTCCTGCCACTCTGTGATGAAGGTCCCTGTGAGACAGGAGATGGAGACAGCTACATGGGTGGGTCTCCTCTGAGCCAGGGCTTGGCCAAGTGTGCTTCCTGGACAGCAGGACTACCGGAAAATGTAGACATTCCATCAGTGGTACTCTGGGATGTGGTCACAGAGGATGCAGGACAAAGCTGGACAGGCATCACTTTGAACCAGGGGTTGGCAAACTATGGCCTTGGGCCTGACCCAGCCACTGCTCGTGTAAGTAGTACTTTCCTGGAACGCAGCATGGCCCCTCTGCCTACCTGTCATCTACAGCCGCTCTTATGCTGATCACCACCACAGGAACCGATAGTCCACCCTGGGAAAACGCACGGACGCCATCCTAACCCATGGACGTGGCTACATCACAGGATCACCCAGCAGGTGACCACCCTGGCTCTTACCCAGCACACAGACCCCATGCCGGTGGGCGGCGTTGGTCCAGCACACGGGGGGGATGGTGACCGTGTGGTGGCTGAAGTACACGAAGATGTCGATGTACTGCCAGTGGTAGAAGGAGTACGGAGTCTGCACCTGTGAGCCCTGAATGAACCTGGAAGACACGGAGAGGAGTCAGGTCCCAGGAGAGAGAGTCGGGACACAGTGATTGCTGGGGGGGGGGGGGGAGGCAGCGCCACGGGTGAGGTGTCTCTCTTCAGTTCTGGTCACTGGCTCTGACTGAAAGCCTGCTGTGTAAGATCCTGTGTGAGAGGAACAAGAGCAGGAACTACCTGAGGCTCTTCTGTCAAGAGCAGCCAGGAGCAGGAGCTGGGGTGACAGCCAGTCGGCAAAAACGCTCGCCTTGTGTGAGTTCCCTCCCCAGAACTGACTTTAAAATAAAAAATAGAAAGTCCAGGTATGGTAGAGTGTGCTTGTACTCCCAGGGATGAGAAGGTGGAGAGTCCCAGCTAGACCAGCCTTGTCTACTTGGTGAGTTCCAGGCCAGTGAGGAAGCATGTCTCAAAAATAAGGTGAAGAGCACCTGAGGAATAAAAGCCAAGGTTGCCCCACCCCACCCCACCCCACCTCCACGTGCACACACTGACACACAAAACCAGTGAGGGGGCGCTAGGCGTGGGGGCATCTGAGGCAGAGGGACTAGAGGTGGAAGCCAGAGCTGGGCTATGTAATGAGTTCTAGACCAGACGAAACTACAGAGCAAGACCCAATCTCAAAAATCCCAGTGTTTGGGGGGGAGGCAGTCATTCACCAGCCAGGGAACTGGTACAGGCCACGGATCTGCACAGACAGCATTCTGGCCTCTGTGAGCAGAGGAAGCAGGAAGCAGAAAGGCTGGGTGCAGGCCCCAGCTCCGGCTTCCGCCCCGCATGCAGGGTCAGCAGTGCCTGTGACTCCCGGGGTCTGCGGGTTGGTCACGCCCCAGACGGGGCAGTTGGCTCTGACTCAGCTTCCCATCACCCTGCCCGAGACTCTTCTATAATGTTCCAGATGTCACTCAAGCTAGCCTGTGCATAACTGGCAGAGAGAGCACAGGAAGCCAGAGCAAGAGAATGGAACAAGGACAGCGCTAGGGGAAGCGCCACAGACCCATCGGATGAAGACTGCTGGGCCAGGAGGCCTAGAGATGTGGGCGGCAGTTCTCTGCAGGGGCAGCCTGAGGAACTAGCGTCTCTGCAGCTAAGATAGACACGCGCTCACCCAACTCCACCTTGCTTCCGTCACGGGAAGCTTAATCTAGGACTGAGTTTCTCTCCCTGAGGCATCAGAGGCCCATCTAGAACCTGCTTTCCCAACTGCTGCCCTCTTCCCATCCTAGGGCGGCCAGCGAGACCAGTGCTGTGTCAGGAACCTCACCTGTCTTCCAGGTACCCGCCCATCATGTCGTGGCACAGCAGGGTCCGGGGCCTAGGGCTGCTCAGTGGGGGCTGGCGACGCTCCAGGGGCTCCAGGGCGACATTGAAACCATCCTCCATGAGGGGGGTCCATGCCAGGAGCTCCTCCAGTGAAGATAAGTAGAAGCTGATAGGTCTGGTTTTGTCCTTGTCATAATATCTAGCTGGTCCACGGAGGGAAACAGAAAGAAATAATGGAAATCAGGGAATTCATGCAGATGCTCTGACCCGACAGAGAGAAGAGGAGGGCTGCAATGGCCATGAGGGCCTATTAGTGGGAGCCTCAGTCACCTCACCTGGTAAAGGGTCCGGGGTGAAACTGACCACATCTCTAAAAACTGCTTCCTCTTCTTGGTCCTCTTTGATCCTAGGCAAAGGGTGGGTTTTTACAAGATTAATTTTTGTTTTTACAAGATTAATTTTTGTTTTTGATACAGGGTCTTGCATAGCCCAGGCCAGTCTGGAACTTTCTCCTTTCACCTCCCAAATGCTGGGGTTATGGGGATGCTCCACCATACCCCATTTATGCTATGCTGGTGACCACACTAGGCTCTGAGCATGTTGGATGAGCTATCAACTGAGCTACATTCTCAGCCCTCTGAAAGGGTAAATAGCAGTTAGAAGCAAATGGCTAGCTATCTCTGGACATGGCCTATAAACATACACCAGAGGCATGCATGGAACCAGAGACTGGAGAGCTGGGGTTCGTCTTGTTTATTAGCCACCAGGACCTGCTTCTGCTTGGACAGATGCCAATGGCAGCCCACACGTGCGATTTCCCCACCCAAATCAGGCAAATCACACACTAAGAACCCCAAGATAGGCACTCCCTAGGGTCACAGGCCTTCTGTGGCCAAGGGATACATAGGGTCTTCAAGTACTAGTAAAATTGAAGGCCCTGAAAGGGCAGAACCAGGCTTTATCTCCTGTCCACACACAGAGGCATGGAATACTCACTGGGCCCCCACTGTTCACCAGTGGATAAGAAAAGCACCTTGGCTTCATGAAGTCACAGTGTGAGCACACCATAATCAGGAAACATTCGTTTGTCATTACGTTTTAAAGTATCATTTTAAGAGTAGTGAGAAGACGCTATAGTAACCTTTAGGTATGGCAGGCATCGAAGCTGGACTCCCCTAAACCTCCCAGGGCCCGAGGCCATCAACAATGACTTGAGCTCCCTCCATAGGATCAGCCATCGATCACTGACCCAGGGCCTCTGTAATTAAAGGAGCCCTTGGCACTGCAGAGGTGGCCAGACAGCAGCAGGTTAAAATGGAGATAGAGTCCTTCTTTTTCTGTGGTGCTAGGGCTCACACCCAGGGCTTCCCACATCCTAGGCCAGTGCTCTACCATGAATCTATCCCAAGACCTTCCATTTTTATTTTAAGACACGGCCTCACTAAACCAGGTTGGCCTCAAACTTGTGATCCTCCTGCCTCACCCTCTCAAATAGCTGGAGTCACAGGCTGTGTCATCGGGCCATGCAAACCACCCCCTTTCAAATTTCATCCCCAGACTTCTCTCTTCCAGATGCCCCTCCCTGGCCGATGCCTTTATCCTTCAGCTGCACCCAAAGGAACTCAGAGCAATCCTGCCTGCTCCTGTTCACCTTTGTCACCGTATAATTCCTCCAATAAGAAAGAAAGGACCGTATTAGAATCTCTTCCACCCAGAAATACCTTTCCATCAGCCAGCAACCACCGTATAGTATGAATGGCCCATCTGTCTCACTGCAGAGGGTGTAAAAACAAAACGGGACAAGCCAAGCCTGCGCTAATAAGTTCCCCAGTATTCTACGGACCAGGGGGTTAGTACCCCAAAAGGAACAGATCCCCATACCAGAAGGGCATGTCTGTCCACTCCTGACTTTGTGCCCATTCTGATCCTTCCCACGTGGATATCCACCAACCACGGTCCTCCTCCTCATCCCTAAAGACTCAGTTCAAATATCACCCTAACAGAAAGCCATCCATGTTTGGGACTGCCTGATCTATAAGGCCAAAGGTATGATAGCCATGGCGCCAGCCTTGCAGGACGCGACCCGATGGGCTGGGACAGGGTCCGTCATGGGTCAGGGACAAGGGCGCTGCTAGCTTGCTCAGGTGGCCCGTCTGCGGCCAGGGATGGAAGGATAGAGGGACGCAGGGATGGAGGGAGCCCACCGCGAGCAGTGGACAGTGTCGCACTGTGCAGGGACAGGCAGCATGGCCACCCCGGCCCAGACCGGAGCTCAGCCCAGCCGTGCGCACCTCCGCCCCGGCCTCCGCCGCCCCGGCCTCCGTTCCGACTGGTCCTGCGCCTGCTTCTCCGGGGCTGTGGGGCCCCTCTGCTGCGCAGCCCCCCGGGTCAGCACCGGCGGGGGATCCATGACCACCCGCGCCCGCCGGCCGCTAGGGCCTCCGGACACCTTGCTCCAACAGCCAATCGCAGGCCTGGGCCTGCCCCTGCCGCCGCTCTCAGCCAATGGAGAGTGCGCAGCGCCGCGGCGGGCTCCTTCCGGCTGGAATCAGACCGCGCTCTGCAAGCGGGGCGCGTGGAGCCAGAGTTAAATAACCGGAGGGGGCGGGGCTAATGGGCGGGGTCTGGGAGAAAGGCAGGGCCGCGAGGATCCAGAGCCTCAGGTTCTAAGAGATCCCCAAGAGCGCCTATCTGTGTGACCTGGCATTAGCCACAAAGCTCTCTTCCCAGTAAATTGAGGTGCAGCCCAGACAGATGAAGGAATCCGCCAGAGACCACCAAGTCAGTACACGGTAGCGATGAGCCCTGGAACTTGGCCACATAGACCAGGCTAGCTGGCCCTGGAGCTTCCCTGGATCCCGCCGTCTCCACCTACCATCTCCAAATGCTGGGATTATAAGCATATGCCACCATACTCGGCTTTTTTATTTTTTAATTAAAATGTAATTACCTGATTTTCCCCTTCCTTTCCTCCCTCCAACCCTTCCTGTGTACCACACTCACTTGATCCCTCTCAAATTCATGGTTTTTATTTCTTTAATTGTTGCTACATATGCGTGTATATATTCCTAAATATATAAACACAACCTGCTCAGTCCCTATAAATGTTACTTGTATGTATATGTTTTCAGGACTGGCATTTGATACTGAATAACCAACTGGGGAGGGGCTCTTCCTGGGGAAGACTTTCCCCCACTCTCAGCATTCTGTAGTTCCCTGTAGTTATCTGTCGAGGATGGGGGCCATGTTAGTCTATTGGAGTCATCATTGTCCAGGTCTTGTTTAAGCAACCATGCTGATGAAACTTCACGGATGTAACTCCTCTGCCTTTTCTAGGAGGTACAACTAGACTTAAAACCTGTTCAACAAAAGGAAAATCATGTCTGGCACTAGTGATATCAGAGGTCATGGAGAGGAACTTACAATCTGCACTTCACTAAGGCAGCACGGTGCTGACTCTTTAACCCAGGTTCTGGACTCAAATCCTGGTCCTAGGGCTTGCAAAGTTAACTCAGGTAAGCCAGCTGAGCCAACTCTAGGTCCAGTGATGAGATTTTAACTCAGTTCTGCTAATCACGCTGAAGAGTAATATTCAGAGCAACATAAAAGATAAAACTGATTCCCATTCGTACATCAGCAAAGGGCTGACGATTGTCTTTTCTCGTTAATCAACAAAAGAAGAAAAGAGGTGTTATAGTGAGCTTAGGGTGGGGCTCAGCAAAGTCTAGGAAGTAAGAGGCAGGTGGGGGAAATGGGGTGGGAGGACAGTGACACTTCCTGGAGGGACTGTTTGCATCATCTACCCTGCACAACTTGGAAACAGCTGGAATGGACCCGATAGGATGGTGAGCATGGTGAGCGTGGGTAGTTTCCTCCTGAACACATTTCCCACTCCCAAGCCTGTGTTCTGCAGAAGTATACCCCGCCAAGTATGCAGGGCCCAGGAAGCACAGGAGAGACTCACAGTGAACTTGAGGCTCCGTGTGTGTTCTGAGCCGTGGGAAGTGCTAGGAGAGGAGGAGATGGCTTCCGCCTGAGCCCAATGTCCCTCTGCAGCTTGCCCAAGCCAAGTTAACTGGGCCTCTTTATTGCTGTTTGCAGCCTTTGAGCTTTATGAGGCCCCAAGCGTCCATAAACGCCAAGGGTGGGGACAATGACTAAGGTGGTTGACTATGGCCCCGTTCTGTTGTTAGCTAGACAGTCAACAGGGAAGAGGCACTGGGGAGCAAGATATAGTGATCTACAGGACAGAGTTGGCAGGACACCTCTTCCCACTGATCCAGTGGGGGGAGGGAAGCTCTGTGTGAGGCTCAGACTGTGAGAAGGTAGCAGGTCACCCAGCTTGGGCCACTGTCCCCAAATGCAGTCATCTAACGTGAAGCCTCGAGGAAAGAAAACAGCTATCTTGAAAGCTGTAATAGATGGGAATGGTCCCACCTCCGCCAACCTTCGGCCTCTGTGCTCTACCCCCTCCAGAGACCTGTGTGCATCCAGAACAGAGTTACAAGTGGGTAGGTAGAAGTGGCTGGGCTCTCAGGTTAGGGTCTGATACCTCCCCCCACACACCCCCGTGTCCCCCACACCCTCCCACCATGCTCCTACAAGGTCGTGATAATAGGCCAGTCCTGTGAAGGTCATATGACTGAAGGGATCAGCTTCTCGGATTTAGATGTCAATGGTCACGTCACAGCCAGAGGACAACATTCCATAACATGGCCTAACTCTTTCTTGTCCCCTCCTTCTCAGTCCCCTCCACCCCCACATATTGCTCCAGAGATCAGAAGCACGAAGACAAAGCAGTGAGCGTGAGTGCTGGCATGTGAGGCCAGAGATCCGCTGCTCTGAGTGGGCCCCCCACTTCTCTTCCCCTGCTTCCTGCTGGCGGCAGGGTGAGTATCTGCCAGTATGAGGATCTGATGGTTGGAACTGGCAGCCACTTGGGTCTGTGAGAGGGTACAGAACAGTAGGACTTTGATGAAACAGACACAGTGTCAGCCTGGACCACTTCATGCAGGCTCCCCCAGGAGAAAAGCTGTGATTGAAGCCAGAGCAATCTCTGTGTCTACGAGGACAGCTAAATCTGAGATGATGTGGGACAACAGTTCCCGGAAAGAAACAGCATTTTGTAAGCTGACTGACTAATTAAAACTTCCTTGATGATTAAGAGTTAGAATGTTGCGGGATCTAATCGCAAATGATCTGAGCTACCTTGGCCCCTGGAACAGCTGCCTTTGTGTGACTATTAGGTAAATCCTTTGGAATGTACAAACAGGGCCCTAGGTTCCACCAGCCCCAGAGCTAAGAATGTCCCAGGCAGCACCCGAGGCCTATAGCAGATTCCTTCCGCGCTGTAACCACCTACCTGAAGTTTCCAACGATATATTTGAAAAGTGTCTTCATCTATGACTTCTTTATTCTGTTACTACAAAAGCTCCATGAAACTGCTACCACACTGAGATGTTGAATTTGGGGTGACCTGAATTTTTGTTCTTAGTCCATGATCACTGATATTTGGCTCCAGAAATAACTCTTTTACCCCACTGAGGTGAGGGCTGATGTTTACGTCAAGGACTGACTGTATACGTTCCTTGACTTCTCCTGATAAACACACTGTCGATTGAAAATATTATCAGTCGGGAATACATTCAGGAGGCTGAGGAGGGTCTGGTGGGTAAAGTGCTCTCTGGAAAGCAGGAAAATATGGGTTTGGGTCCCCAGCACCCATGTGAGAACCTGAGTGTGGTGGCAAGTGGTTGTAATGACAGTGTGGGAGGCTCATTGGCCAGCCAGCCTAGACAGCCATGTTCGGTGAGAAATCTTGTCTCAGAATAGAGATGGCTGAGCATTTTGAGAGTGCTTGCTGCTCCACTAGAGGACCTGAGTTTAGTTCCCAGCACCCACATTAGGACAGCCCAAAATTGCTTGTAATTCTAGCTCCAGGGGATTCAGCGCCCTCTTCTGGTCTCCACAGGCACCTACACACGTGGTACACATTTAAATATATATAAATATTAAATAGACATATATATATATATATATATATATATATACAGTATCAAAAAATTAGCTTCAAGTTGGACCTGGCCAAGCGGGAGGCGCCATCATGGGTGTTGAAATTCACCACAATAAGGACCGAAAGGTTTGGCACGAGGAGCCCAAGAGCCAGGACATCTACCTGCGGCTGCCAGTCAAGCTGTACAGGTTTCTGGATAGACGAACCAACTCCACTTTCATTCCAGCTGGCCCTGGCGTCCCCCAAGGGCCATGGCACCATGCTCCTGTCTGGTCCTTGGAAGGACTGAGAGGTATAACGGGGCATTTTGTCAAGGCCCCAGAAACCCTGCACAGCCACACCAAGCCCTGTGTCCACTCTAAGTTCCAGTGTGCCAGAAGCTGAAGGGCTGGCCACGGTTACAAAAACTAACCCTGGATCTTACTACTGTTATTTAAAAAAAGCCTTGGATGTGGAAAAACAGGGTAAAATAAAATGAAGCAGCATAGAAAATACCAAATGTCATCTTCTAGCCTCCACACCACACACACCACTCACACACACACACACACACACACACACACACACACACACACACACACA